CAACCTCGAAAACTCGATCCTAATTCCTGAATTCACCGTGTCCTCAAGTTTGAAACCCACTCTCTTAGCCCTGTAAACCTAATCGTTCCCAAAAACCCAACACACATAGGCGTGCAAGTATACAATTTCCCCGTGGAATACCTTCTCTATAGGACCACGGTTCTTCTCTTGACTCGTTAACCCTGCAATGATTTCCAAGCTTCGGGGACGAAGCTTCTCTTAAGGGGGAGAGAGTGTAACACCCCGTGTTACGGCCTTCAATCCCGGATTAATTATTTAATTAATCCCGTTAATAATAATTAAATAGGATTTAATTCGGTTAGGTTTCCCTTTAATTAATTAATAAGGCCCACCATGAACCGTGGGCCCTTGCCTAAATTAGAGCCTTAAGCCTATTAGGAATAAAGAAAGTAAACCTTTTACTATTCAGATTCTGATTAGGAATCCTAGACCTAGTTATCTATTAGGAATAAAGGAAGTAGGTCTTTTACTATTCAGATTATGATTAGGATTCTCTTTAATTAATTAATATGGTCCACTATGGACCATGGAACCCAATCCTTAGTCCCAAAAGGAATAGAATTAGCAAGCCTATAATATTAGTTCCTAATTAGGACTCCTAAATATATAAATAGGGGACTTAAGAGGCACCTAGAACCCCCCATCACAATAAACGACTCACCATCCCAAAAGAGCTCCAAGAATTCCCTTAGAAGAAATCAAGAAAGCAAGAAAGCTTAAAGAAAGACCCTTCATAGCCAAGGAATTAATTAAGGCTAAGAGGTAACCCATGTCTCAACAAAACCTATTTTCATAGCTATGATTCTCCCTTAGGGTTTCCCCATATTATTGTGTATTGGCGAGATATGATGATTATTATTGATGTTTGATGTGATGATCCCATGAGGGATCTTGATGATCTTGATATTGGGAGATTCTTGATGATTATGGAATTCTTGATGATTATATAGAGTTCTTGATGATTATGTGTTGTTCTTGATAATTGTGTGATGCTCTTGATGTTTATGTGTTATTCTTACCGAATCTTGCAATTAGAAGACGAACCGTATACTTGTTGATATAAAAGTGATTAGAACCCTAGGTTGTATCGTATGATCTTATTCTTGGATTATCGGGTGGGGAAATCGCATGTTTGGGTGTTGATTATATTAGAAAAGCATGATAGGTTATGTGTCGTTTATTTCTCGTATTTGATCCGTTAATTGTCTACGTGTTAATTATTAGTTGCGTTGTAAAGTGTCTAAGCATGGTTTCGGGTTCCACAAAGGTTCCTGGGACGTTATTGTGTGAAAAGAGTCAGTGGGGGGTAGGTGGGGGGGTAGGGGACCCACCACCTACCCACGACCGAGAAAACACCGCCCGGCAGCGGGTAGCCGGCGGGCGGGCAGCTGCCCGCCGGCGACCCGCTACCCGGAACAGTGCACTCCAGCGGGCAGCCGGCGGGTGGCCCCCCAACCACCGGCTACCCGCTGGAAATTCATCCCACCCGGGATCCCGGCTTCCCCGTTTGATGTTCCCCCATTCCCCGTGGTGTCCCAACGGACTCCGTTTATCGTGCATATGTCTAGTTTGATATTTCGGGTACCGTTCGTAGGTTTACGAGTCTACTATATTGCATGCTAGTTGAATTGGTATCCCGTTGACCTAGGTGGAAGGAGTATGAACCCCTTAGGACTATTCTTAGTATGTGAAGGATCACGCATAGGTTTTGTTATACGCTTTCTCCCCCTTCCCAATATGTAATATGGGTTGCATGTGCTTGCTATGTGATATGTGTGTGTGTTACCCCAATTCGGTTGCGATCGGATTGGTTATCCTGAGCTGCGGTTCAGAAGCTGGCTGCGGTCAGATTGATACTCTTGGGCTGCGGTCCACCGTTTGGTTGCGATCAAACGTTTCTATACGAGCTGCGGTTCGTCCTCTTTCCTGGCTGCGGTCAGATGACATCCGCCTGGGCTGCGGTCCACTGTTTGGTTGCGATCAAACACTATGGTGAGCTGCGGTTCATCGGTCGGTTGCGATCGACCCCTCCGTATTGCGATACGGGGCAGGGTGCTGCGGGGCCGTGTCAGAGCTATATGCGCTGACCCTCATGTATGGGCATGCGATTGGTCCTGTGGCGCCAACAAAGTGTGCTATGTGTTGTGATATGGATGAGTGGTGATCATGAGTGTCTTGGGGGATGTGACTATGGGATTTATGTTGGGGATTGTTTATGTTGGGTTGTGACTATTGTTTATGCTTTGCCTTATTTGCCTTATCTGTTGTGAACTGCATATGTTGTTATAACTGTTACTCGTGTCTGGCCTTATCTGTCGAGTCATTCCCGGTTTTAAAAGCTAGAGTTCGTAGGATATATCTTCATGCTCAAAATGGTTTTCGTATATCTATATATATATATATATATATATATATATATATATATCTATATGTATTGTATTTCAACGCGTTGGAGTGGGTTACCAGCATCTCTCGCTGAACAGATATATTTGGCTTTCAGGCACAGAAGAATAAGTCACTGGAGCGCGCTAGAACTTGGAACGTAGGAGTAGATAGTTTCCCTTTTCGGCCTGCGTGCCATGCTTATGCCTTTACATTATTGAGGATATTAGTTAGTTAGCCTGTGCACCTGAGTTCTCTAGCTCAGGTTGGCATAGGACCCCATACTCTTGTATTATGTTTTGGGATTTAATGGGATTTCACCTTTATTTTATAAGTTTTAAATGTCTTGAAAATCTGGGGTGTTACAAGACCCTTCATTGCCAAGGAATTAATTAAGGCTAAGAGGTAACCCATGTCTCAACAAAACCTATTTTCTTAGCTATGATCTCCCTCTAGGCATCCCTCTACATTCTTGTGTATTGATGATTCGTTTATGAGATTGATGGCGTGATCTTGATAATTGATGTTGTGCTTTCTTGGGTAATCTTGATAATCTTGATGATGGAAAGAGATTCTTGATAATTGGGTGATAGTCTTGATAAACCTAGATTCGTAATGATGGTGTGATATTCTTGATAAATCGTATTGTTTCTTAGTGTTAAAAGATGAATTACGTTCTTAATAATATAATTAGAGCCCTAGGATGTATCGTGAAACTCGTACGGTGTTATTCTTGATATATTGGGTAGGAATTCGTATGTTTGGGTGTTAATTATGTTTAGAAAGCATGATAGGATATGTGCCGTATGTTTCTTGCTTTTGATCCGTTAATTGTCTACGTGGTATCGTCAATTACGTTTAAAAGTGTCTAAGCATGGTTTCGGGTTCCACAAAGGTTCCCGGGGCGTTATTTGTGAAAAAGAGTCAGTGGGGGGGGGGGGTAGGGGACCCGCCACCTACCCGCGGCCAGCTTTTGACTTCGCCGGCAGCGGGCAGGCGACTGCCCGCCGGGCACCCGCTGCCCGGAATCACGTCGCCGACGGGCAGCCGGCAGGTGACCCTTCACCCACAGGCTACCCGCTGGAAATTCTCCCACCTCGGGATCCCGGCTTCCCCGTTTGATGTTCCCCCGACCCTCGTGGCGTCCCAACGGACTCCGTCTATCGTGCCTATGTCTAGTTTGATGTTCGGGTACCGTTCGCAGGATAAACGAGTCTTATATATTGCATGCTAGTTGAATTGGTATCCCGTTGACCTAGGTGGAAGAAGTATGAACCCCTTAGGATTATTCTTAGTATGTGAAGGATCACGCATAAGTTTCATTATACGATTTCTCCCCCTTCCCAATATGTTAATGTGGGCTGCATGTGCTTGCTATGTGTTATGTGTGCATGATACCCCAATTCGGTTGCGATCGAATTGGTTATTCCTGAGCTGCGGTTCAGAAGCTGGCTGCGGTCAGATTTACACTCTTGGGCTGCGGTCCACCATTTGGTTGCGATCGAACGTTTTACATGAGCTGCGGTTCATATTCCTGGCTGCGGTCAGATGACTACTCTTGGGCTGCGGTCCATTGTTTGGTTGCGATCAAACATTATGATGAGCTGCGGTTCATCGGTCGGTTGCAATCGACCCCTCCGTGTTGCGATACGGGGCAGGGTGCTGCGGGGCCGTGTCAGAGCTATATGCGCTGACCCTCATGTATGGGCATGCGATTGGTCCTGTGGCGCCAACAAAGTGTGCTATGTGATGAGATATGGATGGTTGGAGGTTATGTTTGTTATGAATGCGTGACCATAGGATACATGCTAGTAAACTGTATATGCTTGATTATGACTATTGGCTGTGCTTATCTCTACCTGTCGAATCTGTTCCCTACACTTGAGAATTGTGCATTCTTGATTATGAGTGTTGGCTATGCTTATCCCTATCTGTCGAGTCTATTCCCTGTTTTGAAGCTAGAGTCTCTTAGGATATATCTTCATGCTTCGAAATGGTTTTTCATATATCTATGTATATATCTATATGTATTGTATTTCAACGCGTTGGAGTGGGTTACCAGCATCTCTCGCTGAACAGATATATTTGGCTTTCAGGCACAAAGGAGTAGACACTGGAGCGCGCTAGGATCTTGGGGCGTAGAAGTAGATAGTTTCCCTTTCAGCCTGCGTGCCATGTTTATGCATTTACATTGTTGAGGATATTAGTTAGTTAGCCTGTGCACCTGAGTTCTCTAGCTCAGGTGTGGCATAGCACCCTGTACTATTTATATTATGTCTTGGGATTTAATGAGAACTTACCTCTATTATATAAGCTTCAAAAGTTTAAAAATTTCGGGGTGTTACAGGGAATTTTTGGTGTACAGGACTGTACCCTCGAGCGGAACGGCGGGCAGTGGCCTACCCGTCCCCCCACCCGCGGGGAACATGTGGCTTTCGGGTGTGTACCCGCGGGCAGGACCACGGGTGGGGTTCTACCCGTGGCCCCACCCGCGGGGAACAATATGGTGATGTGCGGGGATTTGTTCCCCGTAATTCTTTTCTTCTTGGTATTGATGTTTTGACCTCCCGTTGTTGAATTATTGGACTATTTGTGAGTCTTCTTGACGTTTCGTATGTCTAGAACGGTGTGTTAGGAATCCATGGTAGGGTTTGGTGTCATGAATCTTGAAGGTTCATTGGAACTCTTTTGGTTTATCCTTTGATGAGCATGCTAGTTTGATGTTGTTATGCTAGTATGTGTGGTTTGTTCCTTCTTAATGGGGTTGACAACTTGTGTTGTTAATCATTTGATGTTGGATGGTAATCCTTGTTGTTGAGTATTATCTCATGACTTTGTTGAAATCTCTTGATTGATTCTTATGACGTTATCTTGTACAAATCGTTGTACCCTTTATTGATGCTTGATTGAGACTATTGATGAGTCTCAATCCTCTTGATGATGATGACCATGTGTGACTATGAATGAGATTGGTGGTTTTGTGACTTGAGCTTTGCTCACATGTGATCGGTGGTTTATGACTATGAATTGAACAGTACCCTCGTGTACTTGAGAACAGTGGTATTCTGATTGGTGGTGTAGATTGGTGGGGGACGACGGTCCCAGACCGGGAAAAGGTTGGACTCAGAAGTATAGGGTGGCACTTGGAGGTACAGTTTGGAACTGAAATAAGGCCGGGGGTAGCCATAAGGGTGGTACTAAGGGATAAGGTTGGAACTTGAAACATAATGTGTCATTATGTGATTTGTTGTACTTCCTTGCTTATGCATGTCTTGATGTCTACCTTGTGAATGGTAGGTTGCATCCTGAGTTGTGTTGTGTATGATGTTTGCAGTCTTGTTGTTGTGTTGTGAGGTTGATGATCCTCGTTCTTGTTGAGAGTGTGATGAGTCTTTGATGTTGATTTCCTTTCTTAGTTTTAAAATGATATATACTGTATTCCCCAGTTCCAAATGACTTTGATTATATTTATCTATACTATGCTATTTAACGCGTATTGATGGGTTACCAGCATTATTCGCTGACCGGGTGTTATCCCTTGATTTTACAGGTCCTGAGTTGTTGTGGAGCGCGCTAGCCGTCTTTAGTAGCTAGAGTAGTTTCCCCTCCCTTAAACTGTTATGTTTTGGGCCTGTGAGCCTTGATTAGATATGGCCTATGTGCCTTAGACTTGTTATTGTCTTGATTGAATAGCTGTTGACTTAGCCTGTGCACCCATGGTTTATGGGTGTGGCATAACGCCTCACGGTTTTTATTTAGCTTCCGCTTTTGTTTGTTTGATGGTTAGATGTTTAATGTTGAATTTAAGTTTTAAAAATGTGGTAAAATCGGGGGTGTTACAGTTGGTATCAGAGCCTAGGTTTGATCCTAGGATGTTAAGAGTTTGACTTTAAGAAGCTAAGTGTGAAATAAAACTCTAAGTTGACCTTTAAGTGCCTAAGTGTTATGACTTAAGTTTATTTGGACGCGCTGTGAGCTGTGAGTTTGTTTATTGTTTGCTGTGTTTACCCTGTTGTTCTTGTTTAGTTTTAGCGTTCTCGTCTTTAGCGCCGGGTAAGGGTGCGCAGTTTCCTTGTGTCTTGCGGTAACCGTGTTGTTTCTGTAGAATCTCGCTATGGCTCCGCCTCGTCACCGTGCTCGGGCGCCGAACGATGCCAGCGATGTGGTTAAGAAATCTAGAGTGGCGGTGGTTCGCAACACTCTTAGCGTCATCGAGCGTTGGATCAGGAGTGGTGTATCCACTCAGGTTAACCCCAGCAAGGCTGCAGCACCGCTACCTCGGGGACAACGACCGTTTGGGAGCTTGGAAGTTCAGAGTTCGAAGGGGGAACCGCCTCAAGGAAAGATCCTCGCTTTGAGTGAAGCTCAGGCCGGAGACGGCGACGTCGTGACCGGGACCGTTTTGGTGCAATCGATTCCGGCACTGGTTCTGTTTGACTCCAGTGCGTCTAATTCGTTCGTATCGTCGGAGCTCGTTGAGAAGTTGGGTTTAACCGATGGCGTAGAAGTGAAGTTAAGCGTGAAGGTGGCTGTTGGTCCCAAAAGAGGTAAGGTGAAAATCTAGAGGTGGGGGGGGGGGGGGTGAATAGACTATCAAACTTTTTCGCACAGCACAACAATTGCTAAGTATATCTCGTGTGAAGCAAGTAAAGAGCAGTAAGTAAAGAAAGCAGTAAAGAACACAAGACAATTATAGTGGTTCGGAGGTGGTGTAATCCTCCTACTCCACTTGCTCTTATCTCCAAGAGCAATTCACTATATCCACCACTTCTTGGTTCCAAGATACAATGAATTCCGTGATCTAGTGCTTTGATCACCAAGCCCGCACTAATCACTCCCAATGACACCACACTGCTGTTTTGGGTTTCACGTCGTCGCGCTACTATCACAGGATTTCACGACTCCGCGTTACTTTCCCCCCGTCTTCCACACTCCGATAGAAACGTATCCCGTGATCTAGTGTTTTGATCACAAAGCCCGCACTAATCACGCCCAGTGCCTCCGACACTGCTGCTTCGGATCTCACAGCTCCGTGTGACAATCCAGGATTTCACAGCTCCGTGCTACTTTCCTCCCTTCCTACACTCCCGTAGGAATATCACTTGTTCAGGGACAAGTTTTCTTCTTGCTTCAAACTTTTGAGACTCTGTGGATGATCTTCCATATGATGCAGGTCTCTTGTTGATGAAGATTAAACACTCTTGAGTGATTTTCTCATGATAGCTCTGAGTGTTTTCTCTCTTTGAATGTATCAAGTAAAGCACTTGATTTTTATCTCTGTTTAGCTCTGCTTTTAGAACTCTCAGAATATTTCTCTTTAAAGCTCTCTGAGTTCTTTTTCTTTTCTCATTTCTCACTTGAAGATTTCTTTTGGTATGCTCTGTACCAATTGAAACTTTTTCTCTATATATTCTTGCTCTTATTTCGTGAGTTCGTGTTCTTCAAGTCTTCATATCTTCATCATTTTATAGCTGGTAATGAGAATCTGCCCGTTGGAAAGAGACGATCTCATTTTTGAATTCTTGTATCTTTTTGTCAGAGATCTTATCTTATCTTCTGGCAAAGTGTCAGAAAAGATAAGCTAGCCGTTTATAGAGCTTCAACTTCATGCAAATGATTTCCCAAACTTCATATGATATTCCTATGGTGTTCTCATGTTTCTTGGGAATATCTGGGTCTCAGTTTTGTGTAGAATGGCTTCTCTGATCAGCTCTGAAGTGGTTCTTGTTTCTTTGGGATTTAAATGCTTAAAAAATATTCTTCAATTTAATCCCATACTAGGTAGACTAGTATTTTTCCTTGTGAGAATATTTTCACTATAAGTTTTTCTTTATCTTCTTCATTCTCACGTCTGGGTGTTCTCATATTTCAAACTGGCTTTGAACTCCCTCCCAATTTGAATTTCTTCTTTGTAATTGACACCTAATTGCAACCCAATTTGAATTATTTGACTTTGACTTTGAAATTGGCTCCCAGACTTCTCCTGGTATTGAATTTCAATTATTTGACTTTGACTTCGAAATTGGCTCCCAGACTTCTCCTGGTATTGAATTTCATCTCAATTTAATTGGTTCCCAACGTCTTCTTTTAATTGGTCCACAATTTGAAATTGCATCCCATACTACAACTTGATCAATTGCTTCCCAACGTCGGACCAATTTGAAATTGCATCGCATACTACAACTTGAATTGGCTCCCTCCCAATTTCAATTTTACATTGGCTCGCAACTTGAATTGATTCCCATGTGAAACTAGCTCCCAATTTCAATTGTTCCGGAATCGGCTCCCAAGTGCAATTGCTTCTCAATTGCCACCCAAGTGAAATTGCTCCCCAATTTCCACTTGTAATTGAAGCCCAAAGCCTTTAATTGGTCTCTCAATTGCCACCCAAGTGAAATTGCTCCCAAATTTCCACTTGTAATTGACGCCCAAAGCCTTTAATTGGTCCCCAATTTGAAATTGCATCCCATACTACAACTTCAATTTGAAATTGCATCCCATACTACAACTTGAATTTGAAGCCTTTAATTGGTCCCTAATTTGAAATTGCATCCCATTGACGCCCAAAGCCTTTAATTGGTCCCTAATTTGAAATTGCATCCCATTGACGCCCAAAGCCTTTAATTGGTCCCCAATTTGAAATTGCATCCCATACTACAACTTCAATTTGAAACTTGAATTGGCTCCCTCCCAATTTCAATCAGCTTGCCTCCCATGCCCGGCTTGCCTACCAAGTGCAATTGCTTCTCAATTGCCACCCAAGACTTAATTAATTTTGGCTTCTCAAATTTTACCTTGTAAAATTATTAATGGTGAGATTCAAACTTGAGCCATTTTACATAATACATCAAGCATCTTCCAACTCATCCGTACGTTTTATTGGTTACATCTCCAATCTTCTTTGATGTACTCCTTTCTTTCCCCTAGATGCTTGATCTCCAAGTCAAATTCATGCAATCTTCCAATCTTAATTTTCTTTCACGAAAATTCTTCTAGGATTTTTTTTTTGAGTAGTAGCGACGTGAATATCATATTATTCATCTTCTTCTTCAATTTGTCATTTTCTCCAGACAAATTTTTGATTTTAGGCTTGATATCTTCTTCTTCTATTTTCATCCATCTTCGTCTATTTTCCTCTTTTGCAAATTAAATAATTTCCCGATCATGGTCTAAGACTCTACTAGACTTATATAAATAAAATTGGAGGTTCTACAAATACATATTTGACATATCAAAACCATTACACTTTATTCCTAACAATTTCCCCCCTTTTGATAATGCCAAAACCTATACTCAGTCATTGGCTTTAAGTCTTTGAAAAATAATCATTTTGCTCAATTTTATTTGACAAAGCCAAGATGAGTTTAACAAATGGTTTTCTAAGCACAATCAAAAGAAACTTGTGAATTAATTTTTAGACAAGTTCCTAAACGTATTTTTATTTATTTATTAGTTTTTTTATCATCATTTTTTTTTAATTTTTATGTGCGTTTTAACATTCCTTGTCTTTTTAATTCACGCAGGTCTAATTACAACAGACAAATAAAATTCTAAACTCAAAATAGACCATGGGAAATTATTATTGATATATTTCGAATATTTTAGAGAAAAACGCAACAGAGGTTCGAAAATAGCGAAAATATCAGTTTAAGAGATTTTCCAGATTACCTTCTGGGTTTCTTCACACCCAAGTCTTTCTTCAAGATTTCCTTGACATGTTCTCTAAGCTTGAAGAAATCATCTTTGAACTTCGCATTCTGAAATCTCTTTGTAACTTGCCTAGCCATGTAATATCCAAAAACTTTCTTAATATTGTTGCCCGAAAGAACTCCAGCTTCCCACCATACAACACATTCTTCGAAGCTTCTTTCTTCTCCAAGATTCATGCCCATATTTCCAGTGAAATCTCTTAGTTCATACCACATCTCGGTTCTTTTCCTTTTGCATTCTTCTTCTTTATTCTTGTCCGAGATCCATTGGGCTTGATCGGCTGCAGGCCATTTCTTGATCATGTTTGGTAGATTTTCCTTCGTCCATATTGTTGTATGAGTGGCGGGACCTTTAGAGCATTCAAACCAGCCACGAGTTTCAGCAAATTTCGATGTACTCGTACCAAGACTAGGACTCGCGAACTAAGAAAAACCAATCTAAGATGGTCCTTGTGAGGATTGCCCGCGGCTTCGACCTCGACCTTGGGTCGGTGTTACTGGCTGTTATTGGCTTCCAAGAATAAATTCTTGTAGTTGCAAAGCCAAGTGACTAAGAATTTCTTCCCTCCTTTTGGCGTTATCAACCAAAAATGCAAGGGTCTTACAATCTCGGTCTTGGTTTGCTTTCACAATTTCAACTCAATTGTGTGTTTCAATAGAAACAGCTTGTACGTTATCCAGCTTATTTGTTGCAACTGTGAGTTCAACTTCAAGTTTGCTGATTCGGCTTTCTTGATCTTGAATCGCCTTGATTTGTCGCAAGTGACGTTCGTTGTGAATCTTTTCGGCTGCTTCACGTTCCTTCTTCATGAGTTGGATCACTTCAAGTAATCCTTTTGTCACTCCTCCTTTCAAGATTCTTTCAGCTTTGTCAATCTGAGTCTTCAAACTGTGTTGATACTCTATAAGTTTCTTCAGATTGACTCGGGTATCCATGTGTTGTTGTTCCATCATCTGATTTTGTTCAACCAACTTTTCTCCAATGGTTTGGCAAACAACATCACCGGATTCGGCAACTTTGGCAAATAAGGATGTAAATATGCCATCTTCTTGATCACACTTGTCTGCACAATATTTTGAGGAGATCCGATTGGACTCCTTCTCGGATTTGTGAGAACGGGTGTGTCTACAAGTTGCATCCCTTCTTCTTCTTCTTCAGGTGATTCGACTTCTTGATTGAGATCACCAATCTCTTCTTCTAGAATTTCTGTTCTTGTGTAGTTGTCTGCAAATAAATCTTCATTTTCTAAAATAGGGTCCATGATAGGCATGGTGGACTCAGTATTGTGTACTGCCAATACACTAGATAAATCCTTTCTGATTAGTTGTCTACTCTCAGTAGCAACTTCTACTGCAACTTCAACTGGTAGTTCTCCTCTTATTTCTTCTGACACTTCTCCTCTTAATTCTTTTCTTCTTTTATCCCTTCTTGTAGCCATAAAATATTTTTTTATTACTTTTATTCTCTTTTTTTTTTTTGTTGTTTTTATTCATATATTTTTCTTCCCTTTTGTTTTGTGTGTGTATCTTCTTGGCTACGAAACATTTGTTCTTTTTATAAGACTTAGGGATTTTTCATATGTAGGAGAGATAGAGAGAGAGAACCAGAAGCAAAAACAACCATTTTTCTTTTATTTATCTCCTTCTTAGGGAGAGAGAGAGATAACATTTTCAGATCACATCACATATTCAGGCTTCATTGGTAGAGAAGCTAGCGACGTGATTAGCCTCAAGATCAGCATGTGGTGGAGACGGAGAGCTTGATTTCGAAGCATAGACTAATCCGGGTTCCATTGGAGGTCGAGCAGATCGCTTAAAGCTGCGAGTTTGAGGTCGAGATGACAGGGGTGATGGTGTTGAGCGTCGTAGCTGCACTGCTGAGACTTTCTGACCTTTTTGAACTTGATCCTTGGTTGGTGGTTGTCCTTCCTCTTCTTCAGAGAATAGGATGAGAGGATTGCTAGGTGTGTCTCCAACTTCATGTCCTCTATTTGCAGCACGTCGAGCTCTCAGCATCTCTTGTCTTGCTTGCTCGGCCACTCTCCTGGAAGATCTTATCTTTTCTTGATTCTTCGGAGTCATCGAAGCCAGCAAAATTAGATACAAACAAAAGAAATCTCCACACAGACATGTTTGTTTCAGGTCCAAATTTATAGGCTTAGGAATGTGCTAGAACCATGTGGGCTAATGATGAAGGGGTTTGAAAGGTTTCCTTTGGATATAGCCGACGTTTGGTTTCAAAAGATGTGATGAATGCTTGCATGACTCTTCATTGGTCGAGAAAGCGGTGGATGTGATGGGTAGCGGTTTCTAAGAGAGTTAATGAGGAATTAGGGTGACGATTCGAGAGAGAGTGAATCTGTTAGGGAAGGATTTTGATTTGGAGAGGATTATGGGGGGAGGTTTAGGTTGGGTGGAGGTTTAATATGGGTGGAGGTTTGATTCCCAATTAAACTCTGATTTTCCTCCTTTCTCTCCCGATTTCCTTCTCAAAAACGTGTACCACAAATATAATCACACTCAAACATCTCGTTAGTAGAAAAAATAATCCATAAATAATCAAACACACATAACTATATACATTAAACATCCACACGGCAATTTCCAATCAAAATAAACACATTTTGGAAATTAACAAAATTATCACACATATTCCAAATAAATATTTAGAAACATCTTCATATAATTAGCACACAAATCAGATTCTAAACATTTTAGAAACTCATAAAAATTTTAACTTTCAGCTCAGATTTCTAAAATATTTTTATAGCAAATTATATCACATATGCACGAAACCCATACATAATGCAATAAACACATTAAATTAGATTTTTAAAGCAAATTGTTCATGCAAACAAATTAATCAACTTATACAAACATGAACAAACATGAACAAACACATTGAATCATGCAATTCTAAACAAATTGTCAAATTAATCACGAATTGCACATTTCATCAAATTAATTTGCATGGCATATGATTTCACGTTAAATAACACATGCAAATACACAAATAAATTCCTAACACATATTGCAATTTTATCAAATAAAATTTTTTGAATAAACATAGGCATATAATCACATAAAACAATTTATTTTGAGCACAAGTATCAATTTAAATGAGAGATTAAGTCCAGTGATACTTAGCTCATTTCGATCATTCCCAACTCGTGCCTTAAGGTAGAAAATCTCGTTTCGCATAAAGGCTTCGTGAGAATATCAGCAACTTGGTTTTCCGCGGGGATATATTCGATCTTTAGATTCTTCTTTTCAACGTGATCCCTTATGAAATGATGTCGAATGTCGATATGTTTGGTTCTTGAGTGAAGCACCGGATTGTGAGTGATAGAGATTGCACTAGTATTATCACAATAAATACTAACGTCATCACAATTAACTCCGTAATCCTTCAATTGTTGCTTCATCCACAAAATTTGCGTACAACAACTTCCTGCAGCAATGTATTCGGCCTCGGCGGTACTAGTTGCGATGGAATTTTGCTTTTTGCTGAACCAAGAAACAAGCCTCCCCCCAAGAACTTGCATGTCACGGAAGTGCTTTTTTTTTTTTTTTTTTTTTTTTTTTTTTTGTCTATTTTGGAACCTGCAAAATCCGCATCTGAAAAACCTGTTAGAGTAAAATCTGTACCTTTTGGATACTACAATCCAACATTGATTGTACCTTTCAGATATCGTATGATTTTCTTTGTTGCGGTGAGGTGGCTTTCTTTTGGATTTGCTTGGAATCTTGCACACACTCCCACAACATAAGAAATGTCCGGCCTGCTTGCAGTAAGATATAGAAGAGAACCAATCATTCCTCTATATTTTGTTTGATCAACATCCATTCCATCTTCATCTTTGTCTAGCCTTGATGATGTGCTCATTGGAATTTTGATCGATGGTTTTCCATCAAGGCCAAACTTCTTTATCAAGTCGCGGGTGTACTTTGCTTGATTGATGAATATTCCTTCTTTCAGTTGTTTGACTTGTAAGCCCAAGAAGTAATTCAATTCACCCATCATGCTCATTTCAAATTTGTTCTGCATAAGCTTTGAAAATTTCTCAAACAAAGAATTGTTAGTGCTTCCAAAAATAATATCATTAACATAGATTTGTACTAATAAAATATGATCACCATCTTGAATTCTAAATAGAGTTTTGTCAACAAGGCCTTTGCTGAATCCACGGCTTATTAAGAACATTGACAAAGTATCATACCAAGCTCTAGGTGCTTGTTTCAACCCATACAATGCCTTTTTAAGTTTGTAGACTTTATCACCTTCGCCTTTTACCTCAAAACCTGGGGGTTGTTCGACATAAACTTCTTCTTCGAGTCGACCATTCAAGAAAGCTCTTTTCACGTCCATTTGATAAACAGTGAAATGTTTGTGTGCGGCGTAGGCTAGGAAAATTCTAATTGCTTCAAGTCGGGCTACCAGTGCAAAGGTTTCATCAAAATCTATTCCTTCTTCTTGAGAGTACCCTTTTGCAATGAGCCTTGCTTTATTCCTAACAATCACGCCTTCTTCGTTTGCTTTGTTCCGGAAGACCCCTTTGGTTCCTACAACATTGTGGTTCGCTGGTCTTGGAACAAGTTCCCAAACATCATTTCTTTTGAATCGATCGAGCTCTTCTTGCATAGCATCTATCCAATTTGGATCATTAAGAGCTTCGTCTACTTCTTTTTGTTCAATTTGTGATAGATAACACGTGAACAATGCTTCCATAGTAGATGATCTCGTTTTCACGCCTTCATGTATATTCCCAATAATTAATTCTGGAGGGTGATTTTTGAGCCATCTTAAATCTGGTTCAAATGGGTGCATGGTGCTGGGTGGATCCATTTGTTGTGTACTGGCAATGTTGGTTCGAATTTCCTCAATTAATTCATCTTGTAATTGATTACCAACTTCACCTGTAACTTGATCACTAACTGGATCACCAACT